TATTTAAGGCTTTGGGGTTTAGGGGTTTCGGGGTTTAGGGTTCAGGGGTTTAGGGGTTTAGGGGTTTATGGGTTTAGGGGTTTGGGGTTTAGGGGTTTGGGTTTAGGGGTTTAGGGGTTGTTTTTTTTTCGGGTTTTGGTGTTGAGAGTTTAGGCTTTTCGGACTTAAGGCATGGGGCTTCGGGTTCCCGGCAGGTTCTCGGAGTTGCACCGATGCCAGAGTTGGCAGGTATTGAGATTGAGCTCGAAGCTGCCGAGAACGATCCGAACGGCTGGAGGCAGCTGATCTCCTAGGATCCCGAAACCCCTTACCCTAAACCTAAAGCCTAAACTCCCAAACCCTAAAAACCCTCAACCCCCTAAACCCTCGACCCTATACGAAAAATCCCCGAACCGTCCGATGGCTGGGACTCGGGCAGGTTGAAGCATTCGGACTCCTTGGAGCTGGAATGGGGCACCACCTCATGTCCTCCGGCAGGTCAAGGGCTGCAAGGAATTAGGGCTTCGGGTTTAGGGTTTAGGGCTAAGGGGTTTAGGGTTTGGAGTTTGGGGTTTAGGGTTTGGGGTTTAGGGTTTAGGGCCAACATCGAAGGAAGCATGGATCAATTAAGACTAGACACCATTACGGCAGACTACAGCAGATTTGTACCGGGGTTCGCGGCATGCGGATGAGCTCGGCTAGAACCTGCGCTAAACAAGGCTATCTTTACAAGAAGTACACGTATCCGTTCTGCGATGCCGATGCCTCAGTCTGCATGGAAGTGTACCCGGTGTGGAACAGATGTGTTGCGGCGTTGTGTAGCTATGGCAGAAGTACTTTGTCTTCTTCATCGGTTGTTAACCTGCAAGGTCGGGGACATTTGCATGGCCACCCCACTTCCGGAGATAGAGGACTGCTTGCAGTGCTTGAACTCATCACTCCGGTTAGTGGTTAAGGTTGTTGCTATCAAATCTACTACAAGCCATGGATCTGTTATGTTGGGCCGGTACTGTACCAGTCACCGCCTTTACTTCGGCTGTTCTATGCTGTCTCTCGCACAGGACCAGACTGTGGCTCCAGCTTACTTCGTTGGACCCGCAAAAGTCAGGACCGCTCCCAAGCCCATCCAGCTGCTCTTGTGTTGAGAAGGTTTAGGGTTTCGGGTTAGTTCAAGTGGTTCAATCCCAGGTACATGGATGACTTGGCCGAGAAGGAGGTTGAAGTCAGCAAGGTCTCCCCCTTCTGCGAGGATGGGCTGCTAGTAGAGGCCGTGCCGACTTTTCTTCCTTTACAGGCCTACGACTGTTGCAGGAGAGCCGAAAGAAAGCAGTCAAGCTGTACCTTCAGATGCTGGGCAGAATGACAGGTTCGGTATTGCGACGAGAAATTACAAATCGGAAGCGGCATGTGGGCCCACTTGCTTGCTGGCTTCTTCCTTCAACCTCGTCCATCGCACAGACACCAAGGAAGGTGGAGGCAGAGAAAGCCAAGGCTGAGAAGCTCACCGGGGAGGGCCCCTAAACCCTAAACCCTACTTTGAGGGGTAGCCGCCTCGGATGGGCCAGGCTTTGGCTCGCGGCACTTGCCTTGCGCTGCGCACGTGCCGCAAGTGCCGCATCTCCCCACCGCAGGCTGCGCAAACCGACGACCTCGCGGCGAAGGCATTGGCGACGGTGAGGCAGTCGGGCAACGCGGGCAAGCGTAGTATAGCGTAGTTAAGTCCCGGTCTAAGACACGCCTGGCTCGCATTCACTAGAACTGCAACATAGGGGAACGATCAATCACGTTAGTCTACAGTAGTCTTTCGGGTGTTGCAGTCGCCATCAGCCTGGCACACGCACGCAGGATCACAGAGAAACCACATGCCAGGCAGGAGGTTGAGACCTTTGCGGCGGACGGTAAGCTGCCCTACAAGCTGGAAGAGGTGCACCCAAGTTGACTTGCAGGGGCTGGAGCAGCACGCTTGTTGGGGGGCTTCGGTTGTTGCCAAGGGGCTGGGCAACATGCAAGACAAAATATGCAAGCATCTCGGGCACATCCTTGACCCACAGATGCCTACAGCACTTTCCTTCTGCATGCATTGGTGGGTGACGTATTGAGGAGCTGATGTCAATGTTACAAAAGTCAGTGTAGTGTAGTTTGCGCCATCGCGTGCCTTCGCTGGGGTGCTCACTTTATACAGATCCTACTTGTAACAATAGTAAGCCAGGGTCTGACACACTCAAGATTAAATCGTAAGCTTGGAGCCCTGAGTCCTGAATTCTATGCATGACCTAGATTCTCTCAGCTTCCACCCCAAGAGCCAATGACTCTCTGAAGCATAGGGCCGTAAAAGCAAACGCGAGGTTCCGCATCGATTTCCGTAGCAGTTAGTTCCAAAGCCATTCGCGATGAATGCGGGCTTCTTACCCAACAATTGCAAAGGTTCTTGCTGATGCTACTGCCCACAAAATCTGACCGACCCGTGCCAGGAGTCTCCTACGCTGGCATTGCTATCAAATCTGCCTCGCGACTGCACTAACAAGCGGCCGCTGCAGCCCACCGTGCACGCAGCCACGTGGGACGGTCTTACTACTGTCAGTCCAGTGTGCCAGAGATTGTTAGCGATATTCAGGATGTCTGCATACGGCCTGCCGGAAGACGAGAAGGCTGGGAGCTAGTCCTGAAAGCGTCGAGTCAGGGAGCACTGGATCACAAGGTCAACGCCTTCGCCGGAGAGCGCTGGATCGCAGCCTGTGAGGAAGTGGATCCTGATGCGACAGGCTTCGCTGAACTGTGCGCATGCCTGTGCCAAACGTGCCATCTCTCTCTCTCTCACACATCCCCACCCAACGAATCACGACTACTCTCCGATGATTGCACGCTTGAGCATACACCCGAGCTCCCCTACAAGGTGTGCAGGCTGAACGTGAAAGCACACGAAAGCCCAGTCCAGATTATGTCGTTGGCTGCGTCTAAACTCCTGCTCAGCCTGAACTCGCGAAGGATGTGCCGAGAAGTCGAGGGGAGCCCATGCCATTTTGTTTTTTTTGCAGTGTCTGGCAGGCGCAATCGCCGAAGACCAGCTTGTGCCAGTGTGGCAGAAGGTCCCTTGGTCATCGACTGCAGTAGTGGTGGATAGATTCAGATGCGTCACAAACCATGTCAGCGGGTAGCGCAGTTTCAGTTGGTTCGCCATGTTACCAGACTTTGCTCAGAAAGCTGCCTTATGTCCATTACACCGCTGACCAGGTGAAGGCTGCGTTTGTCAGCATGTTCGAGAGCAGGAGACTCAGGAAGTGCAAATCTCATCAGTTAAGCCGCTGGCCTGTTAGCCGGCTTGAGATCCTTACAGATTTCGCCCCGCAGCCTCCGTTAAAGGCAAAGAGGCGCAGGGGTTAACATGCTTACCGTCAAGTGCCGCCAAGGCAAACTCGAGGAGCTTCGCGGTTGATCTTTGTCACGAGCCTCTCGACCCAGAGAGGAAGGGTAGCCAGATAGCTTTCCGTGGGAGCACAGCCAGTCGCCACTCAGGTGAGATTACTTTGATGCATCTGGCCTAATAAGGCTAAGTTGCAGTGTCACCCCAGTCGCCGTCGACCGGCCGACAGAACCGAAGAGAAGTGCCCATAGCAAGTTAAGTAGGTTCGAGTATGCATGAAACTGCTGCAAGATACCGCAAGAATGACGATCTTCGTGCGCCCAGAGTCATTTGCACGCTGTTTCTTCAAGCGTTGGATTTCCACATTGACCAAACAGACGGTCTCACAATTTCATCGTGCAGAAAATGTATGCTTTGACACCGAAAGTTTCACGACATAGTCCGTGAGCTTGCAGTGACCAACAGACATCCTAGGATAGTCCAAACAGTGATTGGCTGCAAGCCCAATGCAGGCTTGTGGGCAAAGCAAGCCTTGCTTCACAATTATGTTTCACCGCACTTCGCATGCTCCCGGGCAAGAAACCTTGAAAGCTGTCCTCTGTGCACCTGGATGATCCGGACGTTGAGCAGCTTCTCCCTGCTGATTCGACATTCCGGCGCAGGGAGACGCCTTGGTCCAGCTCGGTTCACAACTTCAGAAGGCGGCAGGAATGCCGCAGGCCTGCTCGCTGCCCATCCGCTTACAAGAAGTTCCCAGTCGCTTTTTTCTGGCCACAGCTGTCTATCCACTGCGAGCATCGTCCGAGTGCCAACGGATTTCTGCGCAGCCCAGCCGCTGTTAGCTCGTTTTGGAGTGCATGACTTGACATGTTCATGTGACATAGTTCAACCAAATACAGTTGCTACAGGTGGGTCTTCAAACAAATGATTCTTGCGTGGCGTTCGCCGTTGATTGGGACTTGCGCAGCCTTGTAGACTGCGAGGACCACAAGGCATCGGCGGCCTTGATGCCCCTGCTGGAGGTGCCCGATGTTTGCTGAAGACACGAGCGTTTGATATGCCGAGCTGTGGTCAAAACTCTTAGCCAGGTGGCAAGTCAGTATGCAGGGTTATTCTAGAACTGTTTCTTCCCTCCTTCCTTTACGTGCGAGCGACATTTCCAATTCAATAGCTTCAATAGCTGGCACGTTTGCACCTGCATCCAGCCAGGTGCCTGTGAGAGCTAGTTCGGAGGTGACCGACTTGGTAACCCTAGGCAGCTCCGCGTGGACCTTACTACCGTAACAGCATTCCAGTCTCGATTGAAAGCCGGAGCTGTGTAAGAGACACGAGATTGCCAAGGCTTTGGCATTGCAGCGTGATGGGACGTTGCTTTGCTTAACTGAAGCAAAGCCATAGGTTTTGGGCATATTCAGATTTTCTGGATTCTGGGTGAGTGGGGTTGCTACTGCTGAGAGATGTCTGCGTAAAACATGCTTGAAGCTTAACTTGGCATGCTGTATGAATGTATTGCGAGGAAAGAACAAGGTACCGGCCCGTCACCACATATAGGTTTAATGATTTAATAGAAGTGCTGCGAATCCTAGCGTGATGCCGGCATCTGCAAGAGGATCGATGGCTGATGAAATCATACGTTCTGCGCAGCCATGCACATATGCTCCAATTTCGCTTCACCTCGCAGTCAGGCTTCTGATCCACGATCTTTCCGGGAGCTACGCAGAAACGCTTCTTGGCTGAAGAGCTCCAACCAAACATCTGCAAAGGTTGTGGGTGCGATTGTCCTGCAAGCTGACAACAACTCCAAAGCCCTCCTCGCATCTGAACAAAATTTATCATTGCCAGAAGGCGCTGTCTTGATTTGTGCCGACACCCTGAACCAAGAACTCTAGTTGCTGAAGCTCTTAATTTGAGGGATGCCGGGCCTTTAATCTCGTCTTGTCTGCGGCAGGGTGCAGCAGCTGTCTCCACCACCGCCATGAAGCACAGAAATTCATTTTACATGCAGGGCAAATCTCTGCAGCATCCTGCCATCAGCAGTTTTCCTTTGCAGGTTCCGGCTGCAACTACCTGCAGATCACGGCGCCAGGCGAGTCGGCAAGTTCACCCGACGACTCGCAGACTGCCGAAGACCATGGGCCCACTATGGCATGAATCGCAGTTGCCTGTTAAACCCCGGAGGTGGCTTGGCCTTTGCCCAGCTGGGGGGCGAGAGATGTTGCTGGTGGCCAGGGGGACCCGCGAAGACATAGATAGGAATCATGACAAGAGAATCAATGCAGAAAGCGCTTGCTCACTTCTTGAGGTGGGCAGCGTGCATCATGGCAGCGAGCTTGCGGTGTGGAGGAGATCGACTCAGTTTTCAGTGTCACAGCAGCAGTACATGGCAGTCCCCTCGCATGCTCGGCTATCTCCACCTGTCCTCTTTGCAGTAGCATGAACGCCGATGTCGTGCGAGGATGAGCCTGCCGCTTTGGATGTGAGCCGGTGATGCAAGGTTCCAAGCCGCATTTGCTTATTTCTCTGCAGAAGAGCTACACTGCACCGTACACAAACATGCTTATTGGGCACATCAAATGCTTGATGATGCTTCAGTTCAGCCGGAACACATGTGGCAGTTTAGTCACTCAACGTGAGACTGCTACATGTCACATGTACATACAAGGCAGTGCTACATAGCACGGCCGCCGGGTTAAGTGTATCGTTTCGTTCGCGCGAGGTAACAAAAGCGTTGTGCAAGGAATAGCTCGACAGCAAATGATGTCCCAAAGGATTCAGGCTGCGCAGGTAGGACAGCACTTGATCCTTCGCCGAAAGCTCGAATTAGAGGCATTCGAGTAGGCAGTTCATCGCCAGAAGAAGTAGGGCATGGAGGGCTTGAGCGTCATGAGCCGCAGCATGTGACGCGTCATGCGCATCTCTTCGCTTTGCGCAAGTGCCGAGCGAGATGCAAGGCATCAGCTCCGAGCAAGCTTCCAGCCACATACTCACTCGTTTTAATACCTTACAAAACACTGGTCTGATTGTAGTACACACGTACACATAGTCGTGCTAACTCGCACAGATATTGGCTTATTTTTGTGCAGATGTGCCGTGAAGACTCGTCACTCATCACGAGGCTACGAATGAGTGTGCAAAGTGTTGAAGCCGCTGATGGCTAGAGTGAAGCAACTTCTCAATGTCCTCATGACCGCGGGTTGTGCGGACGAGCAACAACAATACAGGTTCCGAGCCTGAGGAAATACAAGTTTAACCTTGTCAAGCAAGTTACTACAGAGTATGCCCAACGCTCCAAAACCTAGGTGATGAAAGGAGTTTTCGGCCATCGGGCATGTCGGCGCAGCCTGCTTGGGGTCGAGAAGAGTCGCTGGAAGCCATGGCAGATTTCGACTTCGAACCACGGTCTCTGAGTTGCAACGTCAGGTAATCTTTGGGGACCAGCCCTCGACTGGCAAAGCTTTCTGTATGAAGGTTGCTGTGCTCCTCTATCGTAGTATATCGTAGTCACTTGTCAAGCACACGCCCACACGTTGAGCACAGACACGTTTAGCGACAAACATTGAGCCTAGCTCTTGCCTCGATGGATCGTTGACGCGTTTATCCAGATGGCTCCTTCCCGAGGTCGGGTCATGCTGCATAGGGCAGAGCTGCAGCTGCGTAGTGGAGGGACAGAATCATCCAGAAGTGCAAGATCTGTTTCAGTCAACCAAGCACAGCTTGAAGAACGCCGTTGCGTGGCTCCCAGTAGCATTTTTGGATCCAGCAGCAGTCCACGCCAAGACACCGTTTCCGCGCCGGGGACTCAGAGATCATTGAGCACGACACACAGAGAGCACCTCAGAAACGTTTTGCAGAACATCCGGTGGACCGACTGTACTGGACCGTGCCATGCAATTTCACAAATCTTTCAGACTGGACTCGCTCAGCCACGCCTTTCTCGCAAAATTCGTGCTACCTGCTCGAGATAATAGACGCCCGAACCGCCTGCACGATAAACATTTCAACTCAAAGGTATGTGATGTTGTTGAACACGTGTACGTTTCTCTGGGTGACTTGCATGATAGTGGGCATGGGCCAATGCCAGGAGAACGCCTCCTTCTCTACTGCTGCTCCGGTTCTTGCAACTCGCAGCTGCAGGTCCAACTGATGTTGAGCCGCTGCGCCCTCCCTGCTTTGAGTTCTCGGCTCGGTATGGAGACGGAACGTTGCGGTGAATCTGTGCGGCAGTGCGCTTGGCGGATGTCAAATACCGAGTCCTGAACCTCAGCTGGCGCACCGAGGCCGACAGCAGCCACTGCTCCGGCGGTTGGTGCCGAGCCTTTTCCAAACGAGACACTTTGCCCGGCCTGTGTGCCTGTCTGACCGTCAGACGAGGCAGGATGCAGGGTGTCGAGAATTTTCAGTCACCAGACTCCGTGACCGCTTGCTTCCTCAGCTGTGTTCCGCAGGGAGCTGAAGGTTCGGGGACAATCTGTCCCCGTCAGCAAAGAGTACTGGGCCACCCGGCTAAATCGGGGAATCGCGAAGAAGCGGCTGCAGAGATGGGCCTATTGCAGTCAAGGATTATGTCGCAGATGAGCAGTCGGTGAACGATGCAGAGATCTACAGGAGCTGCCGGGAAGCGTTCTTGAAGCATCGTCGAAGTCGTTCTTGTTAGACTTGACTTCTTCCTTTTTGGCGTGTTTCTGCGGCAGGAACAACACAGAGAACTACGTTGGTACTGTCAAGTACCCCATTGGTGTCATCGGCCCCTTGAAGGCCTGGCTTTCTACTTTTTGTCTCAGACCGCGGTTCCCACGAGAGGTCCGCTTCAGACCAGAATCCAGTTTTGTAGAGCAGCGGGAATCGTTCTCGTCAAGGCTTAGCTCTTGATGGTACCAGGCCAAGCTTATCCAAGCTGCTTGCAAAGCGCACAGGTAAACGGCGAGTATGCCACGAAGGAGTATGTGGTGCCCATGGCGACTCACGAAGGCCACGGCGAATGTGTCAGGAGCTACCTCAGTACATAGAGGGCTTGCGCACGGTCTTGGAGAGGTGCGCTACTTGCCTCCTACAGCCGAGGGGCCAAGGCAGGGTTTGAGCGACTTCTGCTCTTCCGAGTATCAAGGTCTTTGTTTTCAAGAACCTATAGCTGCTGACCTAGCTAGATCTGTTCGCGAAGCTGCTTGGCACCACTTCATATGAAAGGATCCCACGATGGGCGGGGGGCTTTGGCTCGTCCTGCCTTCGTGTCTTCGTCTAGCCTGTGCATAACCCTTCCTGCCCGCCTCACTGCACCGAGCCGACCAATGTGCATAGTACTCTGCGCAGCTTGACGAATTGTTGCGCGGCCTCGGTTTCGGCATGTGATTTCGTGGAGGGTCGACGATGGCGCATCACGAATATGCTTTCATGGCAAAAATCGTGCTTGAGCCTAGGATGTGAATGAGTTTTCGAAAGGCTTTGGTTTGTAGCTCACAACACTGAGATTACAATCCCAGCGAAAGGCGGGTAAAGGGCTTCAGGATCCTGGTGCTGTGCTTGAAGCCACTCCAGCAGCCATTTGCGTCCAGCTCCGGACATGTTTGTGCCAAGAGGGGCTGTAGACTTTCGCCAAGTTGCTGACAGGCGATTACAGCTGGTGGCGGTGTGACCACCCGGATAAAGACTCGATGCATGCTGCGTGCACCAGCTGCTTGCCGGCGGTATGCTACAGCAGGCAAGCGCAGCACGACTAGTGCTATGCCATGCCAGTCGAACTGCACAGATCTACGAGAAATCTCTGCTTCAAGATTCGTAGCACTCACGACAATCCCCTCAGCGAGAGCGTCTTCCTGCCATTGTCAGCTTGCCCGCCCCTTCTGGTACTATGGAATGACAGAAGCCAGACAGCTTTCAAGTTTCTAAAGCCCCACACCCCAAAACCTTAAACCCAGAAAGATATTGAGCGCTCAGGTTTTCATTTTCGAAAACATCGCAGAGGCAAATGACTTCTACCGGTGGGCCCACAAGGAGGAGAATCAGGAGCGGCCCCATGGGCAAGCGATTTTGGACCAGCCCAAAGCACAACCGGAAGAATAGGGTTTAGGGTTTAGGGTTTAGGGTAATTAACAATTAGGTGCTGAGAATACCAATGATCAGCATCATCATTATCGTCATGATCGTGAGAATACAATGTTAAAAGGTTCAGATTCATTCTGCCTGCCGGAGAAGACCCACTGAAAGCACATGAAATCTGAACTGCAGCTCCGTCAAAGCGCGGCTGACTTCGTACTTCTTTTGCCAGGCTGGTATCAAGGATTGCCTGCACAAGAATATCGGGCACCTCACCGAGGAGCGAACTCGACTGAGGCCCGCCATCAGCCACTATATGGGGGTTTCCCAAAATAGGGGACCCTAATATAGTACCCTAACTAGTAGGATCCTTAGTATAAGGACCCCAAAGTAAGGTACCCCCTATTTTCTGAAGCTCCCACATGTACCATGTGTGTGTGTGGGAGATTCGGAAGTACGGAGCCCCTGAACTCAAAATGCAGCTTTAAAGCCTCGAGCCATCCTAAACCCGGAAGCCACCGCAGCTCAAAAGTTCTGCAGTACAAATGTATGGTATAGGATCCCCCCATAGAAACCCTAAGCCCTAAACCCCTAAACCGTCAGGCTACAAGGTCGTTTATCCACCGAACACTCTATCCTTGGACCCCACGTGTATGGTA